ATGCATGCATGCATACCTACATGCATACATACATACATACATACATACATACATACATACATATAGAGATATGTACATATATAAGTATATATGTACATATATAAGTGTATATGTATGTGTATATACATATATATATATATATATATACACATATATATATATATATATGCATATATGCATATATATATAGAGAGAGAGAGTAGATGCGGTAGGCTGAAGCATCCCAAGTCTGTTTATGGTGTGGGCTTTAGGATTTCAGGGGCTTGGGGTTTAGGGTTTCAAGGTCTGGGGTTTAGGCTTTCGTGGTTGAGGGCTTAGGATTTGGTTTGTTTCGGGTCCATTGTTGATAGGGTTTAGGGCCTAGGTTTTCGGAGTTCCGATCCCGCAACATAAGAACTTTCCAACAACCAATTCAGACAACCTAGGTTTTTCTAGAAAAAGCCCACCCAGCCCTCACCTTTCTAGAAAAATCTAGTAGAAGATACAAACCCACAAGCATCGACTTGGACCCCAGCCCCCACCCCCATGTCGGAAGCCTCACCACAACTGCATGTTTTGGTAGTATACACCCCCCACTCCAACAACGTATGCTAGTTTTGTTCAAGACCCTAAACCCTAAACCCTAAACTCTAAACCCTAAACCCTATCTTCAAAAACTTCAGCAAACTCAGGTGTACGGAGATGTTCTGCCGTGACTCGGCCTTTCTTCAGCGGGCGCTCAAGGTTTAAGTTTAGGCGTTGGAGTTTCCGGATGTCTGGCAGCCAACTCAGAAGTGTTTAAGGTTAATATACCAGATAGGTATTCATAGTATAAGGGCATAGGGCCCCTACTTATAAGGGTCATTTTGTCTGCAAGGTACTCTATAAACCCTAAACCCTGATACCCCCCTTTCAGGTTCCTGAATATCAGCACAGTGCAATCTCCCAGAGAAACCTTTTCCAGTCTTTAAGGCCCGTAGTGGAATTTCTGGCTAACCCTAAAACCCAAACCCTAAGCCGCAAGACCCTAATCCCTAAACCCCTACACCCTAAACCCCTAAACCCTAAACCCCTAAACTCCAAAAAGCAGTCAGCAGCCTCGCTACCTTGAGAACCTTCCATTAACACAAGATCCGGGTTCAGGGTTCCGGGTCTCTAGACGACCAAATGACCCTTTTCAGTAAGGGCCCTCTACCCTCATACTATGAATCCCTATATGGTCTATGAACCTTATAGACATGTTTGGGGTTCATTTCGTCCATACGGCCTAAAAACCCTAAGCCGTAGGTTTGCTGCCAGGCTACGCCCATTATGGCGACCCCATGCCGAATCCTTTCGCAGCTGGCGAGGACTCTTGGCCTTGATAATTTGAATAGGCTGTGTGTGTGTGTGTGTGTGTGTGGGGGGGGGGCATGTGCATACTGATGTTGCTGAAGACTTGAAAGACTAAACCCTAAACCCCTAACTCCTTAAACTCAAATTCACTCTAGACTCTAAACCCGATAAACCCAATGTTGATTGAACCATAATGACTAAGTTAACCCTAGACCCTAAACCCGAACATGGCACCCTGCGTTTGAAGGAAGGCCTTCGCGTGGGGCAGAAGGGGGTGTGGCCCGACCAGCATCATCGGAAGAGACGGCCCAAGAAGTCGGAGGACAGCGGACTACGGTGTTCTAGCACCACATACACACACACACACACATATATATATATATATATATAGATGCACATGCATACATGCATAGGTACATGTAAGTAAGCTTTGTGTAGAGCAGTTTTTCGTTTTGTGTAACAGTGTTTTGTATATCTATGCTCAAGGGTTTATGCGTTTCTGCTTGTCTTTGTTGAGTAGTTGGTTGCTTCAGGTTTGCACTGGGCAGCAATCACTTTACGTAGAGGATCCAGTCAAAGTGTAGTAATAACTGTGAATGACGATGCTAATGATGTTTGAGGTGATGATAATGGAAGGGATGACGCTCGTGTTGGCGACACACTGTGACGACCGCTCTGATGTTAGGTGGGGTTGCTGCACGGACGGTTGAGTGGCTGACAGTGCTGTCGATGCATGATGCTGATGCTGCTACTGATTATGATATTGTTTTGTCATGTCGGTTCTGTTGATAAAGAGACAGACGCCACTGCGGACAATAGTGTGATGCCCATGGTCATGTGGATGATCCTTCTGGTCGTGGTGTTGGTTGTCAGTATGCTGTTGGATGTGAACATCATGACGAGCAGCGGGCGAGAGCGAACACATCCGTGGATTCCGATGCTGGGTGATGATGATCATGACCTGCGCGACGGCCACGACAACAGTGTTGGTGAATTAGCCATGACGATGAAAGAGGTAGTTGATGATGGCGATGCTGGTGAAGGGTAATGCGAGTTCGCTGTGAAAACGATGTTGATGCATGACGACCCTTCCATAGCACTGAAGCAAACATCGACAGATATCGCACTATATCCTTGCTCCCTCTTGGCCGCCATTTAGGTGTGTTGCTTTTTTGGGGGGCTTTGTGTTCAGGCTGTTCAGGCCCAAGCAGTAGTCTGATATACGCGAGTCCCCGCAAACCATCTTGCATTTCCCCCCCCCACCCCACCCCTCCCGCCCGGAAACCCTAAACCCTAAACCCTTAACCTTTAATAACCCTAAACCCAACCCCAACATGCTCCAAGACATTTGCTCACATTCGCAGCCCGAGCAACTACCCCCCCCCCCCCCACCCCCATCGCNNGGTTTAGGGTTTAGGTTTAGGATTCAAGGTTTTATTTCAAAGGTTTGGGGGGCTTAGCCCGAAACCAAGCCCTGCCCTCAAGCGCTAAACTCTAAGCATGGAAGTATCATCGAACCCTCAATGAACTTGAGCCCGAGAAACCGCAATCAAACACATCCGCTTTAAGTACTCAGCCGATTCACTCAGCCTCCAAACCCAAAGCCCTCAACCTCTGAATCCTAAACCCTCTACCTCGAAAGCCGAAGCCCCCAAACTCGGAGCGTTAAGCACTCAACCTTCAAACCCGCAGCCCTCAACCTTTAAACCCTAAGCTCTCAACCTCCCACCCCCTCGGAGCAACAGCAGCTACATCATTGTGTTTGATAAAGTGCCGTTCGTTATTAACTACAGTGTTTGTATATGCATATCACCTTCAAGATAAATAACCTCGAGGAAACACCTAAACACTTATTGGTTGCAATCGCCAAGCAGCAAGTATCGTACTCTGCTATGCCATGTTTCATGCCATTGTGACACATCACATGAAACAGGACAGCTCAGCCAACGCTGAAGCACCCTTCAGCATCAAGTCCCTGGCCGGTCATCAGATGCTCAAGAAGGTGATGCCCTTAGTTGTGCCCGGGCCGCAAAGACTCTGCGGTCCAGAATCATCACAATCGTCAATATCAGCATCATCATCATCGTCACCATCTTCATCGTCATCACCATCACCACCATCATCATCATCATATTACTGTTCTTATTCTGTTCCTCATCATCTTCCTCATCAGATCACCAGATCACCATCGTTGAATCATCGTCATCATTACCAGTTTCCTCATCCTCCTCAGCCTCATGATCCGCATCCCGCATCGCCTCAGGGATGCCGTATTTCATAAGATGCCCTGGCAGTGGTTGTGGCCTTCGCCGTCGGTCCTTCGTATGAACCGAGAGCCCCAGAATCTGCTGCCCCACTAAACTGTAGCTCATTCAATAGGGTTCAGGGTTTAGGGTTTAGGGTTTAGGGTTTAGGGGACCAGCAAGCACGCAAAGACCAACAAACACACAAACATAAACTAGTGAAGCCTGCCCCTGCAAGGAATATAGCTTTTTACGTGCTTTTCTGAGCTCCTGCTTAAAATCTAAACCTGACGGTCCAAAGGGAACCAGGAGCTGGTTCGGACCCGACCGCTTATTTTTGTTGAAAGGAGGGTTTACGGCACAGTCTTGAAGTATGACGAGGTTGGTTTAGGGCTTCGGGTTTAGGGTTTAGGGCTTAGGGTTTAGGGCTTGAGGTTTGGGGTTTAGGGCTTAGGGCTTAAGGTTTAGGGTTTAGTGTTATGGGCTTAGGGTTTAGGGTTTAGGGCTTTGGGTTTCGGGTGGTGAAGGCATGCTTCTGTATGTCCATATGGTGAATGACGTTTGTCTTGAACCATTTCGAGTTTGTGTTGGGTCTGGCTCGTGACTTTGAAAAAAAGGGGGAGGGGGACAGAGAGAGAGAGAGAGAGAGAATAAACAAGCACACATCAGAATCATGTTAGGGTTTAGGGTTTTGGGTTAAGGCTTTGGGTTTATGGTTTTAGGGTTTAGGGGTTTGGGTTTTGGGCTTTTTTGTGTAGGGTTTATGGTTTAGGGCTCCCAGGACCCCATGTCACCTTGAGACCTGAAAGCCTGAGCCCTATATCAAAACTACCCCCTCGACCCTAAGCTTGGGTCACAGAGCCTCAAACATCCTTGTAGAGCCTGTGTGATCTTCTAGCCCTTGTAGAACCGTAGAGCCTAATTACGGCTATTTTTGTGGCTTAGGGTTTAGGTGACATTAATTCAAAGCAGATCCCACCCCCAAGCCCAAGGAAAAGACTGAGGAGGCGGAGGAGACCAGCCCCGCAGGGGAGAAACGGCCCCGTTTCAGGCAGCCCTGTTGGAATTTGGGGTCTAGGTTCTGTGGGTTTTAGTGGTTAAGAGCTCGAACCTTAAATCCTAGGACCTTAATCAGTTGAATAACCTCGACATCAAGACGTGGAGGATCTGAGAATGATGTGTTTGCTGTAAAGGATCCATGTTTTTGGGTCCTGCGTAGAGCGGCAAGCACTCTCTTGGGTATAAACAGAAAAGTGCCAAGTTCCGGGAATCCCACCGCATGTGGTAGAATGTCAACTTTGGCGCAAGTGCATGAGCGAATGGTCTCATGCGAGTGGTTGGAGGTGTTGTCACATTTGACCTGTTACACTGCGCCATGGGTTTCAGGAGCCTATTATAGGCATTGTGTGACCACCAAAACACAGGTGGAAAGCCCTTGTGTTGAAGCGTTCTGCCTACTTGCCTTACATAACGCCAATCGCGCAAGCCCTGTCTACACGGAAAGGCGCATTGCTCGGTCGATGTTATCGTGATTATGTTGACTGTCCCGAAGGGTCCAAGTAGTCCTTATATATGGTTTTGGTGCCCAAAAAGGCCCTGAAGACCCACTTGGACCCTTAGACTGTGTTTGTCATATGCTGTTCTCGATGTTGAAGCGTTTATTTGTGGTCTGATGACTCTCATGTCTTGAGTTCCAAATCAAGGCATCTTACAGCCCGAACGAGTGCTAGTAGCAATCGTAGCATCAGACCCCCAGGCTAATAGGATAGAAGAAGGCAGCGTAGCAATGTTCGGGCCGTCATCATTATGATTACGATCCTCCGCTTCATCGTCATCACCATCGCCAAGACCATCATCATCATCATCATCATTGAACCGTCGTCATCACCATCATCATCATCATCACGTTGTCTAGGTTCGTGCGATAGTCCTTTCGTGCTGACGAGAATACTGATACAGATCATGGTGTCATAGTCATGCCGGCACAGGACGGACACCACGAGTCCGCTGCTCGGGGGAGGGGAACGGAGGTTGCAAGGACTCAGGACTGGAGGTTGCTTCACTCGATGGAGGTTCAGGCCTTAGGGTTGAGGCTTTAAGGGTTTCGGGGATAGGCTTTCGGTTTCAGAATTTTGTTTAGGTTTTGGGGCGCGTATTATATGAGGCCGCGAGTAAAAGTACAGGTGGGGGGCCCATGGTCTCAGGACTTGGTGATGGAGGCTCAAAAGGCGACCTTCATACAGAACCCGAAATACCATCATCCTCATCAGTTGCGTTTATCAGGGCCTTCAGATCGGACGCCCCCAACTTGCTGAAACCACCCGATTTGCTCGATCAGGCTGAGAAAGGGAAGGTAATTAGCAACTGCTTCTGGTTACCTAATGTTTCACTATGACTATGAGATCCCAACCCTTGAAAAGAGTGTTACATGTCAGGGTCCATGTAAATCCCCAAGATCAGAGAGCTAGTTTCAAAGCCGGCATTCCCTGGCCATGCATATGTATGTACGTATGCTATATGTACTATAAGTACTGTACATACATACATACATACATACATACATACATACATACATACATGCAAACATACATACATACATACATACATACATACATACATACATACATACATACACATTTGCACATATGCACATACATATGCACATACATAAAGATATATAAACATACAAGCATACATGCAGAGTGGTACTCCATTCTCTATGTATGTATGTATGTATGTATGTATGTATGTACGTATGTATGTATGTACGTATGTACGTATACATGTATGTAGACATGTATGTATGTATACATGTATGTATGTATGTATGTATGTATGTACGTACGTATGTATGTATGTATGTATGTATGTATGTACGTTTGTATGTACGTATGTGTGTATGGATTACATGTATGTATGCATGTATGTATGTGTGTGTATGTATGTGTATGTATGTATGTACGTAGGTA